AATTTAAAAAAAAAAAAAAAAAACGATAAGTGAATTTTCAGTTTAATATTTCTGAAAAAAAAATGACAGACTATTTGATGTCAACGATGTATTTTAAAGTACTATCAATAATGAAATTATTGAAATTCTTTTTCGCTATTTAAAATAATTTCCTTCACACTATTTGATTATGTTTCATATTCATTTTAAAATTAAGAGAAAAATGAAAGCAAAGAAATCAGTGAGAGGAATTTAATAATTAATTAAAATAATTCAAGCGAATAATGGAGAAGTAAAACGATCGATTATTATTATAATATTCCAGCTGCAATTGCAGTAGATCAATATTATAAAGTATAATATGTTAACAATGTGCCAATTAACATTCTTGTAATTATTTTCGCTTAGAATTTGAGTTTTTGTTTTGTTCATATTTTTCTCCTCAAATAAATAATATAGCCAAAATAGTAATCGATCGTATATTATGAGCTAATTTTCTCGAGAAATATTCACGAGAAGTTATTATGAATAATGTGTAAAAAAACAAAAAGTGTATATACCATTTATGCTAATTTATCAACCTCTTTGGTTGATTACATTTTTAAAATATTAATTTCCGACATTAGTTTATTGAAAATATAAACACTTAAATCTTTTTTAAGTTAGATAACAATTCCTAAATTATGAATGAAATGAAATATGTATATTTTATCAGAAAAAAGTTAACTTATTTATTTATTTCCTATTACTTCTTATACCATTTCATATTCTCAAAATTATTAGTCAAATCAAAATCTTTTTCACATTATATTATATAATTGATTGATCATTTCTTTTTCTTTTGATTTTTCATAACTTCATGTCAACTTGTTATGTTTCAGCTTTTCTCACTGAGAATGAGTAAACAAATGAACAAATAAACAAACAAACAAATAAATAAATATATGTATGTCAAGTAATTAGTATTTAAAATTTTTTGCTGCTAGTGCTATAGCATGAATATTACATATTTGATGTATTAATTATCGTTTCACTCTGCTATTTTATTAGCGCAAAAAAAAAAAAAAAATAATTTTCCAATATTTCAATTACACATGCTTCATTGAACTAATTCTCATCACAACTTTAGATTTTCTGATGTATTTAATATTATCCGTAAGAGATTTGTTTACACTTTAATATTATTAGGTGAATATTTAGTTGACAAGTTGACAAGTTGTAGTTGGGTAACAAAATGAAAAAAAAAAAAGAAAAGATTTCGAATAATATTTTTTTATATATTAAATGCACTTTCTATAATTGGCTTGTTTTTGCTTTTCGGCTTTATTTAGACTTTATACTTTAATTCAGTAACATAAAATTACAAAATGATCTTTCATTTACGTCAACATTTTTTTTTTTTATAATCTTATTTTCATTATTTTATTATTTCAATTGTCTGATAACACACAGTTTTCTATCAAAAAATGTTTTTAAATTTAAAAAAAAAAAAAAAAAAAAAAAGAAAGGTGAACAAGTACTGGTATAACAAGTATCATTTATAATTTATTAAGTAATAATAGTATTTCACTGATAAAATACGGGTTAAATTGGTGGGTTAGTTCAACTTTTACTAATTATTATAATCTCTTCATCTATGGAACTCAATGAATCTCTCCCTCTCCCTCCCTCTCTCTCTCTCTCTCTCTTTCCTCATTTATACCATCACTATTTGTTGATAGAAATATTACTAATATTATCTCAATTTTTCTCTCCTCAATAGTTCAAAATTTAATATAATGTTATTTCTAAGAGAACAATTACTTCAACATTTCTTTTAATAGTTAAAATTCCATTTTTAAAAGATTGCAAAAATAATTCGTTTTCAATTCTCTTTTTTTCTTTTTTTTTTTTTAATTATTTACACAAAAATAATGAATGTTTGAGTGAAAAAGTCCTCAAAGAGTAGTGGAAGCAAAAATGGAAGCTTAAATGATTGAACTAATGAAATATTTCATTTGCTGATAGTTAGGAAAACAACAAAACTATACTATACTGCATCTTGGCTATGACATAACTTATTAATACTTTAGTTTAGCAATTAAAGCATTAAAAGCATTCAATGCTTTTCATTTGGCTTTATGTGCATTTTTTTTTTTTTTTCTAAATCATTAATTATATTTAAAATAAGTGATAAAAATTTGATTTGTTATTTCACATATTATTTCAAGATTAACTTTTTTCCCACAGATAGCAGTGGATGTTATTGTGAGGAATAGGAAGAGTCTTGAAAATATCCAATTCGAGATTTTAATTACTCTTCTTCAAATTATAAGAATGCTAACAGATGAAGGACATCGTCGAAGTATGCTAAGAAAAAAAAAAAAGTTAGAAAAAAATTGAATCAGAAAAGAAGAGAGACAATTTGATACGAATGATAATTGATTAAGATTTTGATCAGATCATAAAACAAAGATCATATTTAACATGTAGATATTAATACTATTGTTGGAATAATACCTTATAATAGTTAATTAATTAACTTCGATAATTTCTATATTACTAAAATTCAAAATTAAGAAATTAAAAAAATTTGAAAAATTGTTATTTCTGTGAAAATAGACGACGAAACTGCTATCAATGAGAATTTTTCGTGATGCATTTTTATCGCATTCATCGGAATTACTTTAAAATTAAAATTTAATGAAAATTCGATTTTTGTCCATTATTTGCTCAAATTATTTTGTTTAGCAAAAAGTAAAAGGGTGAAAAACAAGAAGTTAAATGATGATTTATTGGCTTAGATTTAAAAATTCATTCAGCAAAGAGCAATTTTTCTATTTTTGGACTATTATTTTCAGTGAAAGTTACTGAGTATTTGCTCTTATCGATGATTGAATGAATTTTCATAGAATTTCTTGAAGTTAATTACTTTTTTTTTTCTTTTGCTATATCTTATTCTAATAATAATTTATTACTACTTATCATAATTTATTATACAATTTTTAATTTCAAATCTTATCACTTACCTTTGCCTTATTTTATTTATAACTTTAGATTATTCTCAATCGGATTATTAAAATTACTCATTTCAGTGTAACATTTTTGTTTGTTTATATATATATATATATATCATATATGATCGTTTGCTTCGGCATCCGGAACACTGTTCCGGAATTCTTCTGTTACCCTTACTTAGAAACAAATAATATGGTTAATTACAAAGACATATATCTATATTTATTTGTTACATAACATTCATTACTTTTAAAGTCTACAAATCTTTAAATAATTAATCGGTTTTTTTAATCCAAAAATAAATAGTAAATATTGCTAAAATAATCATTCATTCATTCCATTCCAGTAATATTCCTTGCTAAAAATAATTAAAAATTTAGAACAACTGCGAATATTTTATATAATTTTTGAAATTTAAATGAAATTGAAAAAATAAAAGTGTTTAATTTAAGGGTTAAATTAATTGTAAGAATTAATAACGATTTTGCATTTGAGAGATTCCATTTTATTTTATATACTTCTCTTTACCTATAACTTATCACCCAGGTTAAATGCATAAATTAAATTTTGAAATATTATTTTCTATGCATCTTGCGAAAAGATTATAATTTTGAAAAGATTATGAAGAGATTAACATTGTCTCGATTTTATAAACAAACTTATGGATTTCTTCTAAACTGTTTCCTCTAAACAATGCTGAAATATTTTTTCATATGCACTCCTAAACAACTTATTATATTTAATTTACTATCTTGTTCATTCCCGAGATATCTTGAATATTCGCCTAGTTAATTCTTGCCTTACTTACAAACTTACTTATTTTGATCTCTTTTCTTCTCTCTGTTTGCATTGTTTGTACTCCCCCTCTCTCTCTCTCTCTCAGCACTTTCTTTTCTATCCCTATTTTTTTTTAAAAAAAAAATTTATTTCCTTTTTCATAAAAGAAAATAAAAAGTTAATTTGCAACTAATATTTACAATCCAAATTCTGTTTACAAAATTATCGACAAAAACAATCGCTCACTCAATCTAGCCATTTGTTAATTCAGTAATTAATTAACCGATTAGGTAATAAATTTATTCTAATGCAGCTAATATTACTGGTAACTTTTGAAGCCAATTTATTTTATAATTATATTCTTTCTCTAATATTATACCATAATCTATTAAGTTTGCGTATTGCTTTCATTAAATTTTCTCGAAGAAATATTTCATTAAGCGCAGTTAGCACCTATGCATGCATACATACAAAGCAGATATAAATGCGCTTCATCAATCATTAAATTTAATTTAGAAAATCAATTTTATTTTACATTTCATTAGCATACATCTAGAAATATGCATAAAAAGTTTATTATATATGTCACATATAACTTTATTTGATATATTTATTCGTTTTATTGAAATCAAATTTTAGTGGAAATAATAAAATTTTCAGAGCATTTATAGAAGAATCAAATTAACAATGAAAAAACTTTTTTTTGCATCTCAATTGATAGCAATTGGCTATTAATTAAGTCTCTCAAATTGTTAAAAAAAAGAAAAAGAAAGAAAAAAGTGGTAACAAAGTGATTTATTAAAAATACGATAGAATTTTATATTCAACATTGATCATTTAAAATAAAATTAAAATGTAATTTACTTTATTCTACTATTGATTACTTCAAGAAAATAACTTATAATTGTCATTAACAGCTTTAACAATATTCTTATCATTTTTATTTAACTGTCAAATAATTATTGGATAGCCAAAATTACAACAAAAATTTTTATTTATTGCAAAAAAAAAAAAGCAAAGATATTACAATAAATTAAAGCTTAAATCTAAATTTGTAAACAAGAGAACAGCATCGAAATTTAACTTCGATAAATTTTTTCTTTTTTTTTTGAAATTTATCAAAGTTTGGTATACACCAACCATCGACGTTTATCATTATCGTAGTACGCATCTACGTGTTCTAGCACTCTGATATTGACAAACGTGTATGCATCTACGTGTTCTAGCAGTCTGACATTGACAAACGTTTATGCATCTACGTGTTCTAGCACTCTGATATTGACAAACGTGTACGCATCTACGTGTTCTAGCACTCTGATATTGACAAACGTGTATGCATCTACGTGTTCTAGCACTCTGATATTGACAAACGTGTATGCATCTACGTGTTCTAGCACTCTGATATTGACAAACGTGTATGCATCTACGTGTTCTAGCACTCTGATATTGACAAACGTGTATGCATCTACGTGTTCTAGCACTCTGATATTGACAAACGTGTACGCATCTACGTGTTCTAGCACTCTGATATTGACAAACGTGTATGCATCTACGTGTTCTAGCATTCTGATATTGACAAACGTGTACGCATCTACGTGTTCCGGTTATTGCCTGATTGATTATGTATTTTAGTTACAAAAATGCATTCCTCAGATATAAGTGCAGGATTGAAAAATATTCATAAGGATGATATGATTTTATTGCGAGAATCCTGGTCGATCATAAATCGAAATATTCAAAAAATTGGTGTCAATATTTTTGCAATGATATTTGAGCAATGTCCTGAAGCAAAATTTGTATGAATTTAAAAATTTTTATTCATAATTTATAATTTTTTTTTTTTTTTGTAAATTTCAATTTGCAATTAAAATTAATTTCATTGCATTTTCGCATACTAAAAACTCATCGATTAATTTGAATGATAAAATTTCTAACTGATTGATATGTGATAAGATTTGATCAGATTGATTCGTTTTAAATTTTTAATGTTAATAATTTTTTTTTTTTTTCAGTTATTTCCGTTCACAGATATTTCAAAAAGAGATAGTGATTCGATCAGATTTCATTCCTTACGATTCATGCAGGTATGAAACTAAGAAATTTTCAAATTTTATAACAATTTAATTAACGATAGATTGTACAACTAATAAATTTTTTTTTTTTTTTTTTAGCTCAAATTATTTGAAATTTTGAAGAACGAAAGAATAAAAAATAAAATTTTGCAAAAATTAAAGGCAAACATTGTTTTTTTTTTTTTTTTTAGCTCAAATTATTTGAAATTTTGAAGAACGAAAGAATAAAAAATAAAATTTTGAAAAATTAAAGGCAAACATTGTTTTTTTTTTTTTAGCTCAAATTATTTGAAATTTTGAAGAACGAAAGAATAAAAAATAAAATTTTGAAAATTTAAAGGCAAACATTGTTTTTTTTTTTTTTTTTTTAGCTCAAATTATTTGAAATTTTGAAGAACGAAAGAATAAAAATTAAAATTTTGCAAAAATTAAAGGCAAACATTGTTTTAATAATTTTATTTTTAGTAGCCTTTATTATATAGCAAATTGAAAATGTCACTTAATGCCATTTACTTTTATTGGATGTTTAAAATCATAGATGTAATTAGGAATTGTAATCAGTGGATAAGGATTTATTGAATAAATTGAGAATCTCAGTGTAAAATTAAAGTATTTAAGTGCAACTTTAAAATTTATTTCATCAATATTCCATGCTAAATTTGATTTATCAATAATTTTGATTGTCAATTGAGAGAAGATTGCAAGTGGGAAAAATTCAACAATATTTAAAATTAAAAATTATCCTTGAAATGTTAATTTATTTGAATAATAATTTATTATTATCAGAGCTAATCAATATCACTCATTAATTTAACTTTTAGGCAATAGAAAGTGTTATTAATTCCATTGAAACTCTAAATAAAATCGATCCTCTGTTAACTAATCTTGGCCATGTACACGGAAGATTAAAGGTTATTAGCTTATTTTTTTTTTTTTTTGTTCAAAAAAGTAAAAGTAATATTTTCTGATTACTTACTTGATTAATTAACTATCTAAAGTCATTTCTTAGTATAACTTATTTCTTCTTCAATCATTTTCCATTATCGTTCACTTAATTGTTCAAATTTATAAGTTAAATTCAAAAATTTGAAAGAAATTGAAATGATTGAGAATAGAAAAAAAAAATGATAGAAAATTTTAGCAATAAAAAATAAATGCAAAAATTTAAGTATGCGAAATTCTTCACATATTTATTAATCAATTCCAAACTATTTCTATTCATTCATTCATTCATTCAGGAGAGACTGAATTTCAAACCGGAATACTGGACAGTTTTCCGTGAATGCACATTGTATCATTTTAGACGAACTTTGGAAAAGAGTAGTGGTATTATAGTGAAGTTGGTTCTTTCTCGATTTTACTGTCTCATTATCTTATTTACTATCAGTAAAAGTGTCGTCCGATTCTTTTGTGCAACAAATTGCACTACTTGTTTACCTGTTGTCAAATTTGTTTAGACTTTTTGCCAATCTATGGGAATCATTTGAAATGATGATGATCCATTCTCGACAATATGCTTAAGCATTTGTCATATTTTGAAGGCAGCATTTTGTCATCAATCATAAATTATGACAGATTGATTTGATGTCTAAATTAAATGTTATCAATTATTCAGCTAATTTTGAATTATCTGCTTCATTTTCTGCTAAATTAATTAGTAATTTTAACGCTGAAACATTTCTGAAAAAAAAAAATTATAAAATATTTGTTTTATAAAAATTATAAATATTGCATACATCTGAGAAAGTCTTTCACTAATATTTGTTCCAGAAAAAAGCAAAAAAAAAAAAAAGAAAATTTTTTTTTTAAAATTTCATTATTATTCAAAAGAAATAAATTTCAAAATGACAATTTCATATCAAATATAAAATATTTGAACTGGAAATTGTATCAAATAATTCAATTTCTTTTTTTTTTTTTTTTTTTTTGATAGGACACGAAAATTATTTGGCATGTTAGATTCAACAGAATCCAGTGTTGATTATTTGATTAGTTTATGGGGTATGCTATTAGATTATATGATTGAAGAGATGACAATGTCTTTTCGAGCTGATATTCGAACCAGGTACAATATTTTAGCTAATTTTTTTTTTTTTAAATAATATTTTTTGATGAAAAATTTTTGAAAATTTTTTCAATTGAATAAAAAATAAGCAAAAATAAATTAAATAAATGACATTCAAAATTTTTTTTTTTTTTTTCAGAGAACTTAATAAGAATAATTGGCTTCAAAACGAGGAAGAACAAAATACTAATTATTTCGAAGAAAGGCGAGCAACGATGAAAATGCAACGAACAGAACAGTAATAACTTTTTGAAAAATTTATTCAATTGTATCAGAAAATTCTTTGATATTATGTTATGTCAACAAAATTTTCAATTTTAACTTTCACATTTTTTAAAAAAAAAAAAAAAAAAAAAAAACCACTGTAATTTATTTTTGTATTCATTAATAAATAAGTGTTACAGATATTTCTTTTGTACAAATTTTCGGAAAAAAATCTCTTTGTTTATTATTTAAAAATTTGAATGAATAATAAAATTAATTAGGAAAGAATAAAAAAATTAATTAAAAAATATTAATTCACTTTTTTTGTTTTTCTATTTGAGAGTACGAACAAGTAAAGGACGAAACAAACGAAAGAGTTTCTGTTGTGGTTTACAATGCTTTCATTTCGATCAACGATACAATCATCAATAACGAAGATCAAATTGTTACCTCATTATTACAAATTAATTATTTTACTCATTAAATCTATCTGTTTTCATTTTTGTTTCTAAATAATTTAAATGATAATTAATTTTTTTAAATAATTTTAATTAGATTAATTTTATAAAAGTCATTTATCAATTAAATGAAACTGCCATAGCATTTGGTTATATTAAAATACCATGGATAACCTTTTTACTTTAAACAAATTCAAAATTACAATTAAGTTTTGCTCTATTGATTATTCTATCAAACATCATATCACTGTCTAAGGAATAACAAATTTTCATTTAAATATTGTATCAATTCTTGTTCAATTTAATTCAATATTTCAAATTAGTTTGCATATTCATATCAAAATTAATAAATTTTAGTGTCACAAAAAAGTGACATCGTAGAGTACAGTGAATTACTTACAATCATTGCTGAATAAATGGTAACAAATAGAGTTAATATTTGACATTTAGTATTTTCATCGCATTCGCTGCCATTTTTTCTTCACATCTATAAAAAGAAAAAATTTCCAAGCAATGTTATATAAAAATTAAAATTAAAAATTTGTGGGACTGTTTTTTAAAAATGAAATGTGCAAATTTTGTTTTACTCATTTTACTCAATAATGCAATTCTATCAAATAATTTTAAATTTAGCATATTTTTTTTTCTTATTTTAATCTTTTTCATTTAAATTTTATATACTACTGAGAAATATATTTGTGTAATTTTTTTTTTTTGTCACATATTTGTTTATCATTTCGTATGGGTGACATGTAAAATGAAAATAAACGTTTTGTAATATAATGTTTGAATTAAGTTATAGCTTATAATGAGAAATGTAGCTAATTATATATTGATGAGATAAATAAAAAAAAATAAACTTTATATTTAGTTGCATTTAACTTTATCCTTCAAATTTATCGCTAACTTTTTTTTAAAGGATGGAAATAATTTGAAACTTTACAAATTTTAGAAATATCTCAAATTTATTGCTATTTCAGCTTAAAAATACGAAAAAAAAAAAGTAGAATATTTCAAAGCAAAATGTAAAATAAAGTATGAAAAATGTATTCTTAAATGCAATCAACAATAAATAATAAAAGAGAACAAAACGGAAGCAAAAGGATCGAATATAATTGACATAAAATTTATTACTACTAAATTAGATCTAAATTATTTAAAGATTTAAACTGTAGAATTGAAATGAAGAAATGCAAGTAATTATTAAAAATATTTTTAGCAATTATTAAAATTACAAACTAAACTAATATAAATACATATGCATGAATCTATGAGTTTATCATTTCTATATTTCATTTGTTTGTTTGTTTTTATTTTGTTTATTCTTTTTTCACTAGTAATCCCAACATGTAAATAAATGACATCACTTTAATATTTTTGAGAAATGTAGGTAGGTTACCATGTATGTTCGATAAATTTTTGCTTATATTTTAAAACAACTTCAAGAATTTGACAAAAAAAAAAAGAAAGAAATTTTAAAACTAACTAAAACTTTTCAATCAAATCATCATTTATTTATAACTTCTTTTTTGATAATAATTCTGATAAAAATTGACTTCTTTAAACTAATCAAACCTTTTCAATCATTTATAATTTATCTTAAATCATTTTTAATCAGAAACAAAAATTAGTTAACTAACCAACTTCTATTGAAATTGACTTTATAAAGTGTTTCACTGCAGCAAACATCGAAATGCTATAAATTCTATGTGTTCAATATTTGAAAATTGAATTTAATATAAAACTCAAAATTTAATTTCTAATTTCATTTCTTGTTGTTCAGCACCTAATAACCAAACTATTCCATTAATTTTCTTTTATTGGTATAATATTTGTCGACGAGCTGCTAACAAAGCATAAATCTTAAATGAATCTGTTTTGTATTTTGCTTGATCTTTGTTTTCAACATATCTCATTCCTTAATTATCAATTATTCATCCGGAAAATAGAAGATGAGAAAAAGAAGAAAAGAAGGGAAACATTTGGAAGAAAGCATAAATCACTCGATCCGGAATAATACTATATCAGGAATGAATATATCAACCGTGGGATCTTCGTTTTCATAAAGGTTAATGAATTAGCCGGTTATCATAAGAATGTCGGAAAAGCGATGGTAGTCTAAGTATGCTAACTTGTGTTAGTTTTATCTCGTTTATCTTCCGGTTTTCAGTATCCGTTCGCAGTTTACGTTATTTTACCATTTGCATCCGTTCTTTTCTTCTGCAAAACTAGTGATCTAATTGCGATTGAAATGACAATTCGTAAATTAAACTTGCAGTGTTCAAGCTTAACAAATGAATGTCATGAGATAAGTCTCGAATTGAGATTTCACGGTAGTCATAAACTTACTGGGCAACTAGCAATGTTCTTTTGTTTGCTTCTAAGTCTTATTTGTCTATTGCTAGTCTCTTTCAGGGAAAATGACAAAACGCCGGCCAAAAAACAAAAAACCAACGGGTTTGAATCGTTCTTTAGGGAATTGCTTATTAAATGAGCGTGAAAAATTACGTCAACAATGTCGGAAAAGACAACAAGCTTATAACAGTGAGAATATGATTGAAATTGACAAGGTTAAACTTATACCAGTGTTATTTTGTATTGTTTGATTTTAGTTCAGGGATTATATGGAGTTAGAGAAATGGAAGATGCAAAAAAAATTGGTTAATCAGTCATTGCTGTTATATAAATAGGAAGGGGTAGAAAGGTAGGTAGTGTTAAATAAGAAAAAATTAGGTGGAATGATGATAACATCAGGATAAAGTAAGGATAGAGGTTGCTAGTTGTTGAAGAATAAATGATAGCATAAGGCAAAGTTGTTCAAGCAAGTAAAGTATGTAAGATGAGAGTTGGATGATATCAGGTAGCTTATAGTTAGAGTAATAGTTTCCGGCAGCATAAACATAGCCGTGTATAAATTGAGGCAGATATTCCTTAGGTCGTTTTATTTTACTTTTTTTTTTTGCTCAAAAAATAGACATCATTTTACTCCTGTGTACTTTGTTATTGCTTTCAGAATATCCACAAATTGGTTTTGTAAAAACTGGCTCACAGACTTTTGGGGACTTTTGTGTACTGCATTTAAAACAGTGACGTTATTCATGCTCTAAGATTTTTATATGGAAACAATTGCGCTTCTTTTAGTGTCTCTTGACCGAAATTAAACAGAAATTAGTCGACTTATTCACATCTTGTCTTTTTCTTATAAATGATCATTTTTAAAGAATGTGGCACAAAATGTTGACTCCGTAATCGAAGAAACAGGTCTAGAAGAATTTCTGGCCAAGGCGGAGCTTGCTGGAACGAATTTTGCAGCTGAGAGAGAACAATTTCGTATGCTTGATTTGTAAGTTTTCTTTTTGTAAAACAGTGAAGTTTTGGAGCACAACTTTAGTTGGTACTTTGGTCATATGAAGAGCTTATCTGAATTTGAAGAAAAAAGTTTCAGCTGCGAAGATGTGTGAATTTCTATAATTTTTTTTGTTTTTTCAATCATGTTTCCTTAAGTGAATTTTAGAATCAGGCTGATAAGAGAAAGATTTCTTTCAAGTCTTACTTAATTTTGAGGGAAAGTTCGAAAGTCGTTGTAAAATCCATAAATGCCGCTCAGTCAATGGATGAGTTGTATAAAAAATATGGTGACCGATTACGGATTCCTCGTCGACCACCGAAGGAAGCATGTGAAACGGTGGATGATTTAATACGATTAGAAAATGAGTATTTTCTGGAATGGCGTAAAAATCTTGCTGATTTACAAGAGGTGGACTTTTTTTTTTTATTTTCCAAAGATAATGATATCTCATTTTAAATCTTGATTTCGAGTGTGTTTCATAATGCTATCAAATTTTCAGAATAATGGTGTATTGTTAACTCCATTTGAGAGGAATCTGGAGCTGTGGAGACAACTTTGGCGAGTCATTGAACGGAGTGATATTGTTGTTCAAGTTAGTGTGTGCTCTAGGAATATTCTAGAATGCATTCTAAAATTTTTGTTCAATTTTGAGTTTGATTTTTGTTCTTTCTACATTTATCTTGACTTTTGTCGGATAAGATATGTATTGCAATGTCATTTTTCTTTTAGATTCTGGATGCTCGTAATCCATTACTATTTCGGAATTTGGATCTCGAAGCGTATATTAAGGAATGTGATATTGCGAAGCAAAGTATATACTTGATCAATAAAATTGATTTATTGTCGAAAGAACAAATGGAGTCCTGGAGGAAGTGGTTCATCGAAAATGATATAGATGCTGTTTTTTGGTACATTTTTTGGATTGGAATTAAACCTTAAATTTTGTTTGGAATTTTGAAATTTAAATTCATATTCTGGATAACTACACTGAAAATATCCATTATAGGTCGGCTTTGGAGCCAGAAGCTAACTGTGCTGGGATTATGGAGATGAATACACATGACGGAAGTGAATTATCTGATAGTGCAGATGGAAGTGAAAAGAAAATAGGAAATAGAGAACAAGATTCCGATGGGTCATTCAACGATATAAATGAAGGCGACGATGATGATAAACATAACCATAGTTGTAGAACAAGGCTATCACAAAATATTGATGTTTCAGAACAAAAAATTCCAATTATACATTGCGCTGCGGTTAGTTCTTTCTGATTTTAATTGCTAGTTTGTTTAGCATTTGATTGTTCATACTTCTTTCATTCATTCGAATTTTAAACAGCCATATACCATGCTGTTGTTCTCTTAGCGAACATCTGCAAACTGATGTGCTGTAAGTACTACATACACTAATTTATTATTTGTAATGGATTCAAGACTGGTGTAATCCATGACATTATTACTAATGATTAAGGAATTATTCCGGGAAATAGCTATCGAGGTTGAATGAAAACATTTTATTTCTAACGCTTGTGTATTGGTTTCTGCTCCATTCGAACTCAATCTATTTGTTAGGAGGATTTTTGATTAACTGACAACATAAAGTAAAACTTTTGTTTTTCGGAAGAATCCGATTCTTTTTAAAGATGGTTGCTAAATTAGCTTTTTTTTTCTAGGAGTTGATATTGTTTTTAAAATCTCGAGCTCATATCATAGAAAGGCGTCCTTTTGTTGTTGGAATGGTTGGTTATCCAAATGTTGGTAAAAGTTCTACGATAAATAAGTTATTGGATCGGAAGAAAGTATCAGTATCAGCTACGCCTGGGAAAACTCGCCACCTTCAAACATTAGTGGTTGATGAGGAGGTATTTTACAACTTTAGAGAGCAAATTAGAATTTTGAGGATTTGTATAAAAGTTTAAGTAGATCAAATTACCCGAAAAAACTTCTCAATAAAAGTCTTTTTTCATATGTGAAGTTAAGTCTTTTTTTATATGTGAAGTGATATTTAAAATATTCGTCTACTACAAAAGAAAATGGAATCTCAAAATAATGTAACTTGTAGACTCTTTTTAGCTTACTCTATGTGACTGTCCAGGACTTGTGATGCCATCATTTGCATTAAGCCGAAGTGAAATGATTTTAAATGGAATTCTTTCGATTGATCATATGCACGAATACTTATCACCTGTTGAATTACTGTTGACACGGGTCCCGCGAAGATATTTTGAGAAAATTTATTCGGTAATGTTGACGAGTACTGCCGATGATGATAGTAATGAGGAAGCATTACTTAGTGCGCATGATCTGCTTACAGCAGTTGCATTTATTAGAGGTCATTTTTTTTTATGTTCTAAATTTCTTGGCATGGCTTAAAATGCTATACGTGCAGCTTGTTTGTATCAATCTGGAATCCAGGAATCTAGAAAGTTGGCTTGATACATTTCAGAACTTCATGATGCTTACAAAATCCATATATTATTAGTTTTCTCAACTTAGCGTAAACTAATTATGGTTTCATTTAATAACTGCGAATGTATACGTCGTTATTTTATAACACTCATCTCTTAATTTTGAGAGCTACTGCAAATGAGTAATACAAGACTTTCCTGCATAAGTATCTTGACATCTTATTTTAACTTTCTATTTTATACTACGCTTAAAAGTATTTCTGACATTGTTTCAAACGTTGTGAGGAACACCTCTAGTCAAAGTTCAGGTTTGAGTTTTCAACACTAAACATGTGTATTATGTTTCGGGCATCTATTCTAGGCTATATGTCATCGTCTGGTGTAGCGGATTGTTCACGAGCAGCACGTTTAATACTGAAAGATGTTGTAAATGGTAAAGTGAAATGGGTTGCTGCACCACCAGATGTAGACCAAAAGGAATTTGATAAGCTAACATACGATGTTTTGAATGAAGCAAGTTCAGTGAAATCGAAGCTTAATAGTGGCATTATGCAGCAGGTGAGCGCGACAGTATTCAATCTGATATACCATTGTTAATTTTGCATAAAATTTGCAAGTTTTAGACATTTTTTGAATTTATGCTTTATTTTAAACATAATTTTTATTTAACTTGGCTGCAGCTGGAAAAGCGTCATTTGTTACAAGATATGAAACCATCAGACAAGTTGCTGGACAAACAATTTTTTCTTGGTTCAAACAGTCAGGTCCATGTTCGTTCTTTGCGTTCAGTGCCGAATTTTGCTTCATCGCAAAGAGATGAAATTCGACCATCAAAGAAACATTTCAATAAAAGTAAACGCGAGAAATTACGAAGGATTTTTGTTGATTAATCTTAAATATTCCAAGTCAGTGTCCGAGTGTAAAAAATTCAGGTTTTTTTGTAATTTTTTTACGAAGTCCAGCATTACCGTTGATCACAGTTACTTTAGCAGTATTCTTCTAGATAATTGTTTTCATGATATGCTCAATAAAGCCTATAAACTAATAGTCCTTGTTTCTATGCATTTGTGAGACTGTCGCTTTCTGCTAGCTCTTCAAATTTCTGTTACGGTTTTTCAGAGTCTGCTGCATGATATATAGGAGGACAAGAAATATGATAAGCTTACTTTAGCATTAAGTCACATTCATCATTTCAAAAGTATTTGCACAGTTCCAGTGCTGGATAGACTGTGAACTCCTATGTTTTTCCTTAATTAGCTCCTATGTTTCTAATGCATCCCGTTTTTCCAGCAAAGTTGTTAAACGAATTTATGCAATATTTTGGGTTAATGGTTTCGTAGGAAAAGTTGTGATGTGGATATACCTACGATTAAAGTCCTGCTTTTGATATTAGCTAGTTCGTCGTTAAGTATGCCTTTTGATATTGTAAGAATGGAAATGTAGGATACTTAGAGTTGTCACTGTATTTAAGTCTGAAGAGGATTTTGGGACTTGAATTTAAGGTTCCATAATAGAATAGTTGGGATATTTCTGCTGAAGATATGTTTGTTTTTTTATAGTTCTCTGTGTAATAGACACTGCAATTACTAGGATCTCATTTATCGCTTGATGGGCATCTTGCGATATAAAGCTTCGGGGTGGGATTCAGCTTTGCATCGTGGCCGAGTAGCAGTGACTAGATTGCATGGTCTGTAGTATAGCAGAACCGGTTGATTAGGTACATCTATTTCGGTGTGCGTGGTGAGATTCAAGATGGGTTTTTGTTGCGTCTTGTTGTCATTACTAGTCATACGTACGTGGATGCGAACGTGAACAGTTTTCGGCAACGTGAACAGTGTCTGCTTCGTTGCTTTGGCATCTTGTCCTTCATGATTAAGTAATTCCAGGACAAGTGTTCGGAAAATGGGGAAAATAATGAAGCCGGGTAAAGTGGTGTTGGTATTGGGTGGGCGTTTTGCTGGTCGAAAGGCAATTATCGTAAAAGCGTATGATGAAGGGTCGTCCGATCGTGCCTACAGTCATGCGTTAATTGCTGGCATTGATAAGTACCCATTAATGGTTAGTTCATTATAAATAATATGATTTCCAAAAGAAATAGGAAAAAGGATACTGGTCATTGGCTTGTTTTCATTTTGTATTAACTTTCACACATCAATTTTGATAGTACTTTGATAATCTTAGTCGACGTTATAACCTTATGTAACGTGTAAATTATTCCAGGATAATTTGTTGTAGTTGTGTGTGCGCCTTTATCCTTCGTTGTGAAGGCATGAAAAATTTATTCATGAAAACTTTTGTCAGGCTTTTCTATTGTTAAAAAAATTAAGAAGAAATATATTAAAAGAGAACTTGGGTTTTTTTAAATTGGTTTGGACTTTCCAAGCAAGTAAACTCGTCGCAATGTTACATAAGCATATCATTTTGACGTAATCAGATTGGTCTTCATAAAGCACAATAGTCATGTGAATGATGAGAAAGCTATGCTCGAGAAGATCCATTTTGTTTTACATGTGGGCAAAGCTTTTTAACTCTGACGCATGTCTATTAGTTCATTTTTTTTTCTTTTTTTTGCAGTTTCCGGTTAGCTTAATTATATAACACTGCTACTTAGAAATGATTTGTAGCAGAAACAAACACAATTATCATGGGAGAAATTTGAGCTTCTGTATTTATTCTTGCCGCTCAAAAAACTTCATAGATTTTCTTGCACAATAAAAGTTACATAGGTAGTAGTTTAAGCTACCGAGTTACTAAATTTTTCAGCTGATTTGCTGAGATTTTTAATGTGACAGAATAGTAATAATAGAGTTTATGACAATAGGTTTTCTCCAAGAAGGATAAAATGAACTTATTTTCAGGTAACAAAACGAATGGGCAAGAAAAAAATCAAAAGCAGAAGCAAATTACGTCCATTCGTTGGTATTGCTAGCTATTCCAACTTGCTCCCAACCCGGTTTGTCCTGACTTACATTGTAATTTCCGAAACATTGTATTTCACAGTGTCTTAATTCACTTCTGGTTCTTTTGTGAGGAGAAATTTCAAGTGTCTGTTTTTATTTATGCGGAGGGCTTTAGAATCTTGCAGCCTTAAATAATGTTGGACAAGCAAAAGAAGGGCGATCTTAGACAGTAATGTCGCAGTTTTGCACTTTCTGCAAAAATGCGAATGATGAGCAAAGTATGCCTGAAAAAAATCTGTTGATTTAACGTGAGGGCTAAGCTTTTTAACTCTGACGCATCTGCTAATTCGTTGTTGGTTCATGCAGTTATTCTTTTTTATCTCTCTTTCATGTTGTAAATTTCAGTAACTTTCAGCATTGATATCTATGTTATCAAACAGTTACATTTTTATTCAGTACAAAAAGACTTCATAGAAGTTAAGAAACTTAAAGACTTGCAGAATTATTCAGAATTTTCAAGTTTTATATAAGTACTTTGATTGTTGAAAAGACGTTTGCACGCATAATCTTCATGTTGTTTAACTGTTTTTTTAGATATTCGGTTGATGTATTATTAGACAAGAATTTGATCAACAAAGACGTCCTGAAGGAGCCTGGAAAAAAACGACGAGCTCGAATGGAGGTTAAAAAGAAGTTTGAAGAACGGTATAAAACTGGCAAGAATAGATGGTTCTTTACTAAATTACGCTTTTGAAAATATTGTACTGTTATTTTGTTGGTTCACTAGCAATATGAGGAAGGAAATTTCGTTGGAGTGTAGCTAAATTGTTAGCTTATCAGATTGACGTATAACATATTGATTTGAATTACCCTGCTATACTGCTGTTAATTCTTTAAAAAATTTCTAAGCTATTTTTATAAACATTTACAACGTCATCAACTTAGTAGCCGTACGTGTTCACTTTTACATAGCCATTTGAGCAGCGGTATCACTAGCATCATCCACATTGTGATTTTTTTTCCTTAAAATTTTCTAATCTATTCTTATAAACATGACTTTTCTAAAGTGTTCTTATAAACATTTTACAATGTTGTCAGCTTGACACTCACATGTATTCACTACTATAGCCACACTTAAATAGCGGTATCAGTGCATCATCTATGTTTGTTGATTTCATTAATAGTCATGTATAATCTTCATGTATGTGGAATCACAGGAACTGTGTTGGCTTCACTACTGCTAGCGGTTGCGCTCTAATAATTACCGCAGTTGTATCACCGAAAATATCTGGTTCGAGTCTCTTACATTCGAATGATCTAGGTTTTGCGCTGGTTGAAAGTCGAAACTCGAACACTTTAACACCCTACATAGTTGAGTCTCAGCTGTGAGCCGATGGTTAGAATATTCTCCTTCTTCAGATATCTTGTTGAAGTCTTATTGAATCTTATTGCATGATCTAAAAAGAAAAGTGAACAGAGGTGGAGGCTATTTTCTCAGATTCCTCACATTATGTGGCGTATAAATTTTTAGGCTTGTTTGTCCATCATTTCTGAACACATTGTGCATATCAATTCTTTAACTTCGTTATCTTTATGATATTTTATTTTATCCTCCAATAGTTCCTAATTTATTTCATAAAAGCTTCACATATGACCTTTTATCAATGCGGCTAGTTCTGCCCATCTTTGAACTTTGAGCTTTTCACACATTTCGTAGCTAACACTTCGACGATCAATGCTGTGTTTCTCTTTCGAGTGTCATAGCGTTTATGCAAAATATGATCATATAGTAATAATAATATAAAATCAAAACAAAAAAATTTCTTATCCAAGCTATAAAATGAAAAATAAGAAAAACACGCATACAGAGATATATACTGAATTTGCAGCGCGGAGGAGAAAGAAATGACAAAGGGATTTAATAAAAAAAAAGGAAAAATTGTAAACAAAATTCTGACCAGAAGGTATCGAGTATCGCCACAACTGATCGAATAAGCAGAAAATAGGTGATTAACCGAGGTTTCATGAAGATTTCATGTAACATGTATGAGATAAAGAAGTCTCACTATCATTGCTTAATTAATTTGGACCAGTCCCGTTTAGTGTAGACAGTCTCTGATGAATGAGGCTTTCAGAAAAAAAAAAAAAACTGCACAAGAAGGTGCTCTCGAAAAGCAGCGATTCAAGGCTTTCTTGAGATTTAATTTTGCAGCTGGAGGAAGAGCTACATAAGTTATGTGTTATCTAAAAGTTTGAAAATATTTGTGGCCAAGAAAGAGACGTCAAGATGGCACATGAGCGAATGGTCACCAATACAGAATTCCAGAAAAAAAAAAAAATTTTTTTTCTGCAAGAGAAAATGCATAAAAAAGAAACATATGCAATGGAGAAATGAAAGGATAAAAAGAAAAAAAAAAACAAATAAATATTTGTGAAAAAAGATCATTCGATAAAACACTGCTTGTAATTATTAACCATAAATGTAATTATGATCAAATAATTACAACCAAAATAAGAGGAGAAAAACACATGGAGCAAATCAATAAAATTGAAAAGGAAAATTTTCCTACTGAAATTTCATAAAATGTTTAGAAATTTGATAACTGCAAAAACGAATTTTCTGATAGCAGATACGTTTAAATTGATAATTATTTCGTGATGTAAAAAAAAAAAGAAAAAAAGTTACACATATTGCAACAATTGCACCTAAATAGCAAAAATGTGAAAAAAAAAAAAGCAAAAAAGAAGTATACTATTTAATAGAGCTCCTATGTTTAATATAAATCATATAACTAAACAAATAATGTTTGTTATATGATTAAAAGAGTGAAATAAATAAAGGAACAAATGAAAGAGAGAAAAAAAAAATAATAATAATAATGGAAAATTAAAATATATATTATGAGCAGTGAGCAAAAATATTGCTTTTCTCTCTCTCTCTCTCTCTCTTTCTCTTTCTCTCTCCACTATTTAAATCAAAGTAAGATTTGAAAACTTCATTTTTTCTTTTTTTTTTTCTTTCTCTTTCCCCTTCTACTATCAATTTATTGCTTTCAAATTTTGCTCCAAAAATTTCCTAATGCAATCCTTTGCTACCGTTCTTTTTGGTTAACAATTTATGCAAATTAGCCAAACAATATATTCAAATTCTAAACAAAATTCCACGGATTATATTACACCGTAAGATAAATGATAAACACTTTGAACATTATTTCATCGTCGTTTAATAAAAACAAAATTTTGGCAGGATTTTGTAGAAAGAAAAAGAAAATAAAATTTTCCTTTCTTCACAAGAAGCACAATCATAAATGTCACAAAGAACAGTTTAAGATTAAATTGTCTGAAAAGAAAAACAGTGTTTGGCAAAATTGCTCGTTGGATCTATTCATGAAATTTTGCTTTTGATGCAAAACTATACGCTTCTTTCTATAATTGGAATGGTAAACACTGGAAAGTTTGTAAATATCAAATATGAGAATTAAGACTTATCCAATAAACAAAATACACCCGAAATTTGTGAAAAAAAAAAAAAAGTTACTCGAGAAGTTCTGGACAAAAAAAACTATTCGTTTTCCAAAGAAGAAAAAAGAAAAAAGTGCTTGCTTTAAAAGATTTAAAACTTCAACCACTCAATTATCCGGGTAATTGATTAATTAAATGAACAAAAAAAAAAAACCGGAACAAATAATCAAAACGTTGAACGGCAGCAGGATAACAGGAATAATGACAACTACCAATCACTAAATTTGCTAACAATAATAATAATAATAATAATTGGTAAGATGAATTAATGGATCATTATCATTATCGTTATTATTATCAGAATCAATCGATTCAATTTCCCATTTGAAAAACTACCAAACGCAACTTATGAAATCATCAGGCATACATCTTTTCATATCAAGATTAAGCTTTTCCGTTCTCGTCATAAGTATGACACTGATGATAATGAAGATGACGATCACGATAACGTAGCGATGGTGATCACATGCAAAGGATTGAACTAAAAATCAGAAACCCAGAGAAAGAATTATTTTTTTTTGAGAAATCTATGCTCAATTTGTGATCTAATTTCATTCTTCAGTTATTTGCATTTAATCGATTTTAACTAAGTAACAAACTAAATTTCCATCTTTTTATAAAACCAAATATTCCATGAGGAGTATAATACTACTGCTAAAAAAAAAAAAAAAAAACAAAGACTAGACAAATTTTTCAACATATTAAAGCCAAGCATAATTCAGATAAAATTACTAGAAATTGCAAAATCAGAAATAAAGAGAACAATGGATGGATGATTATTCACCTGGATACTGACATACTAAGCTAAATCAAAAAAAAAAAAGGATATTAAAAAATGAATCCTTGCAGAAATAAATCATCATGAATGACTTCATACATTTCAATTCTATCCTTTCTAAAAGGATTCAAAAAATAATTTTTGTTGAAATAGTTAACGGTTACATCATCATCCATTCTCCATTATTATCCAGAAAAGATAATGATCTCGTATCAGAGAGATAAAAAATTGAAAATCTTAAAAATTTTTCAGTTAAAAAATTTTGGAATTCAAATGTAAAAATAATCACAATTTAAATTGCCAAAAAAAAAAAAATTTTGGTTTTCACAAAGATGAACTGAGATACTGGAAGAAAATAAAATTAACACTATTTCCATTCGAAGTTTATATAATGGAAGAATGCTGCAAAATTTTCACGTGAAAAGGGAAAACAGGAGAAGGGAGAACAAATATCGAATCAACGAACGAAACAAACATTTGAACAAACCAAAATACTTTCACGTGATGATAACGCTACTGAACGTTAAGAACCGTTAATGACCCGTTATCACAGATATGCAAAAGGTGACAAATATATTGAACACATCGCGTCAAACAGTCCGACAGCTTGGACTCATGCTATACTGTGCTATGAAATCACACCACAAATCAACAACACACCTTTTGTTTTTCTTCTTTTAAAACAAAAACAAAAACAAAATAAACAGCAACACCGAGTTACAGTAATTACAACAGTGGTTGTCATAACACTGATTGTTGAAGCACTACTGTAGTAGCAGTTACGGTAGCATTAGTCTTATCGCAATAGCATCAGTAGTTGAAGCAGTAGTAATTGTAACAGAAGCAAGTACATCAAGCTGGAACGTAATCGCAGTGAATATTTTAAAAGGCATTTGTTACACGCGTACACCTAAGAAATATACTTTATAAAAGAGAAGAGATAATGACGATGATAATGATAACGATAATGATCGTGATAAAAACTATCGTTCATGGGGTCACACTAAATTGTACTCTTTTAAATTGTGCTGTAATATTGTATCCTTCACTGCCGCGAATACGAAACGTATATTTTCCGTATCTGAAAATAAAACATAAATTACAGAAATTCAGATTCAACTTCAAACAAATTTCTCTCCTCTGCTCACTACAACTAAAATATTCGGGATCAATGTCAGCCAAATCTCCTCATCAAAATGAAATTGAAAAGATTGTTTTTTTTTTTTTTCGGAAATATGGCATTATATATCTCAATAATCCAAGAACGTAATAATAGCAAGACTATTTGTGACAAGTTCGATGTCCCAGTAACTCTAGAAGAATAACATCTTTTTTAAAGTTACAATGTTTTTCTTTGATGAAACACTTCCTACATAACACAGCAAGTAGGAGATAAACAAAATGAAAGTGACTAACCCGTAGCACAAGTGAAATGTGAATAAATGATTTTATCA